ATCCCAGGATAGAGGAAAAGATGCCTATAAAGGAAAGGAAATAAGGTTGGAGAAGACGACAAGCGAAATCATAAAGGGCTTTCTAAGTCTATGCTGAGGAGTGTGCGTTTTATCCTGCAAGCAAAAAAGTGTCATCGAACAATTTTTAGCTGGAAGGTAATATGATCAGATTTAGAAATACATAGAATAGATTCGAAGGATAAGAAACTATTTAGAGTAACCCAAGAAAGAATAATAGGAACTTGAATTCAAACAGTGGCAGAAGGAATAGAGAAACAGTAAGAGATCTGCAAGATATTTAAGAGACAGGATAGAAAGAGTATAGCCAAATAGATATAGAAAATGAAGCAAATATTAAAAAATGACTCAATTCCTGACTTGAGTGAATAAATATAAATGAGTAAGACCCAGCTGGCGTGGCTCAGTGGTTGAGTGTCAACCTATGAACCAGGTGGTTACGGTTCAATTCCGGGTCAGGGCCCGTCCGGGCACAGGCGGCTCCATCCCCAGTGGGGGGCGTTCAGGGGGCAGCCTTCATGGTTCTCATCGATGTTTCTCCCCCTCTCTCTGACTATATTTAAAAAAAATAAAAGAAAATGGGCTGGGAAGTAGTTTCCTCTCTGCACCGCCCTGCGTTCCTTCGGACACCGGCAGCTTGTGTTGTGTGTGTGGAGCCCATCGTCTAACCTCCTGGACCTTTTTCCTCACTTACAAAACCAGGAAACGCCCCTAAGACGTTCCCACTTCCCCACCTGCTCTTCGTCCTCTTCTGGTGACGGTTGTCTGTGCTGCTGGGTGGTAACCCCCCACCCCCACTCCCACCCCCACCCTCGCTCAACTGGGAGTGACCGGAGGCACCTCCTGCCTTCGCAGCCTGGTGGGCACCCAGGGAAGGTGACCCCCTGACAGTTGGGAGGGTCTGAGAGGCGCCGCCTCTCACCCCGCTCAAACCCAGCGGAGAGCATCTTGGTTCAGAGGCGCCTAGGACGGGCGGGCAACCCCTGGCACGCGTGCCAAACATGGCACACCAGTAACTTTTGCTGGCACGCGAAACCCTCTCTTATAATCTTCCATTTGCAAATTTTTTTCTTAATATCGACTTTTTTATTTTTCACACAAATTCAGTATAGGTGCATCTTAGGTAAATAAATAATTTTACATAACAAGTTATCTTAAAGACCATAGACATGGATTGAGGAGAGAGGGGAAGAGCAATTTCTATGCCTCTGCCTTTACTCTCCCTGCCTTCGTAGATCCGA